CCCCCCCCCCCCCCGCCCCCCCCCCCCCCGCCTGCAGCCCGGGCCGAGGCCTGCGGCACCGCCGCCCGGGGACGCGTGCCCCCGGCGGGGGACGTTTCCAGCCTCCCCCCAGACAGCCCGTCCCAAACCTTTCGCACACGGCTGTCAGAAGGAAGCCCTGTACGTATCCAGCGCAACCTGCGAATCTGGAAAAAAAGAGGGGGTGAGCCCAGCCCCGCGCTCCCTCCCCCAGACAGACGCACCGTCGTGCTTTCGCACAGAAGCAGAGGGATGGGAGTTACGCGAGGGTCTGCGACTGACGGAGTGGAAAGCCACTTTGTCAACTTACTGGCGTATTATGTGAGTAACACCCGCGCTCCCACCCCTTCAGCGCTTCCAGAGCGACACATGAGTTTAGTGTGTTAGCAGGACACGTTCCAGTCTGCTGTGAACCAGAACCGAGTTTATAGAGGTGGAGACTTGTACCGAGTCTGGTGCCTCGAGTCCCCTCGACAGCGCATCGAGATCCTCAGATAAGAGGCGCTACGTGCACATTACCATCCCTGGCCTAGTTGCATACCTTTTAGCCAGAGCAGTAGATTTTTTGTAAGGATCGTCATAGCCAGCGCTCCGTGGCGGGGAGAGGCGGGTGCGCTCGTACGGCGGTGCGACAGCGGCAGCAGCAGTCTGAGATATTCCCAAATACGAGGCTGCCTGTTGCCCCAGCTGGCTTGGCCCGTCGTACGCGGTCCCCGGCTGAGCTCTGTAGGCGGCTGCCAAGGAAGCGGAGGAGGGCTGCTGCGCTGCGTACGACGCTGCCATCGAGTTTGAGGCCTGCGCTCTGTAGGCCGCAGTCAGCGGAGCGGAGGCCTGTGCTTTGTAGGACGCTGCCGCAGCCTGGTTGTTGTACGAGGCAGCCAGAGAGGAGGCAGCCTGGGCACCGTAGGTGGCGGAGAGGGCGGCTGCAGACTGGGCGCCGTAAGAGCCAGGCAGATTGGCCGCGGGCTGGGCTCCGTAGGAGGCCGAGTGGCCGGCTGTGGGCTGGGCTCCGTAGGAGGCCGAGAGAGGCGCCGGCGGCCGGGGGCCCGAGGG